TTGAATATCTTTTAAAATGTTTACTAATGGCTTAAACACCTTTTTTGTAGAGCATTCAATTTCTTACAAAAATATATATAAATATTTGATAAAACGATTGATTAATATTGAAATATGGTCTTTTTTATAAGGGACTTATAGAAAAAAATGGAAAACTGTGATGGATCTTCCTAAAAATATTAAGAGCTAAAATTTGGTGAAAAATATTCGATTTTTTTAAATCACCCCAATATATATTTTAAATCAATTTTTAAATTGTTTTCGATTTCTTAAATATATGTTCTTCAAGTTTTTTTAAATTCTTATAATTTTAAATTTTTTAATTCAATAAAACCTTTGTGCCTAAATAGAGTTCACGCACAAAAATCACCAATTTTTGTAATTTTTTATCGAAATTCACATTGAAACGTCGATGCAATGCCTATAAAACGAAGAAATGCTGAGAATAGTGTGGCTGTAAACGAAAGTTAAAAGGAAGACCAAAATTCGTCCATTTAAGTATATGGGACCTTTTTAAGTGGCTGTAAAAAAATAGTTTTTACCTTCGTTTCCTCCGGTCACGATAGCCGTTTTTCCAACTAAGCATGTTGGACTTTTAGCAATTACACACGTTAGTCTGCTAATCAGAAAAACAAGCATAAGTAGCACAAAAATATACAGCACCAATAAGTTTAACATCGTTTTAAATTCAAACTTTTAATAAAACCTTTGATTCAATGTAACTAACCTTTATTAAATAATTTTAGATTACCGTAGTACTTAATAATTATAAAAAACTATTAATTCAACAATTATTTACAAAATATCATGTAAAAACATTAATAATTAATTTTAAATGCATTTGTAATTATTTTTTTAGAAAAATTGAGTAGTTTAGTAAAAATGTGACATTGAATGAAATTGTATATTAATGGACGAGTGCCACAGAAAGTCTTATGACATGAATTCTTTATGCTATTTTATCTATTTTGCAAAAATTCTATAAAAAAATTAATTTTATACCTTATATTTAATTTGGTCGAATTTTACTTTAGATAGTTGGTATTACAGTCATTGGTTTGAAGGGTTAATGTCAAAATCGATTCGCCATGGCGTCCTTAATTTACTTATTTACAATAAGCTGCTGTAAATGTTAAAGAAGAAAATTTTCTTTGGTGTTAAACAAAATTTATTGCCAAAAAAGTCTCGTAAGTACTACAAAAATCATAAAAATATTATAACCAATATGCAAAATATTATTTTACTAGTATCCTGCTTAAAGTAGCCAACCTATAAAATCAAAATTTTGGGTGGAGTAAACCACAATCCACACAACAAAGTCTGTTCTATCTCGTACTAAAAATACAAAAAATCACTGCAACACTGCACAGTTTATCGGCGGCCATTTTTGTTGTTTACAATTTTTGTGCTTTGGGTTTGAGCTCTGTTTATACAGATTAATAATCGTTTTAAACGTTGTGTTTCTCATAGTAAGCCTTAAAAGAGTCCTTAAAGTGCTAAGAACAACCATTTTACTCCTCTATTGTAAAAAATAAACTTTATTCTATCAGGGCTGTCATAAAACTGTCAAATGTCAATTTTTTAGGTTAAATTATAACCCACAAATTAACCTTCAAATTGTCATTTGACAGCCCTGATAGAATAAGGTATATTTATTATAAAAAAAAGAGTAAAATGGTTGTCCTTAGCACTTAAAGGCCTTATTTGAGGCTTACAAGTGCCTCTGTAAGAAAGACAACGTTTAAAACAATTATTAAACAGCACAAACCCAAAGCACAAGAATTGTAAACAGCAAAAATGGCAGCCGTTAAAGCTTTAACGGCTGCCAGACTAGTCTGTGCAGTGTTGCAGTGATTTTTAGTATTTTTAGCATGAAATAGAACAGACCTTGTTGTGTGGATTGTGGGGTAAACTACCTCATTACAGCACCCCAAAATGCGGGGAATTTAGCATTGTTGCGGGTAATTCGTGGGGAATTTAATAGTGTGGGGAATTTCGGAGAATTTATAGTTATCAATAATTTTAGCTTCAACTGTTACAGAAGTTTTTCTAATTCTGATGTTATTAAATGAGCGAAACTGCATCTGTTAAGCCGGGTCTACAATTGTCGCAGGGGTCCGATCGCAGAACATAAGCTTGCGCAAAGCACCCTGCGACGTGGCGATAAAGCAAGGTTCTTTTGTCAGCTGGGTGCTTTGCGCAAGCTTATGTACTGCGATCTGCGTCCTGCGACAATTGTAGACCCGGCTTTATGAAAGGTTTTAATGAATTTTAAACATCGCGCCAAAATTAGCAATTTTCTTTGGAATGAGTAGGTAATTATCACAATTGTGATAGGCAAAGATTTAAACATCATAATGACAACACTGACAAATCAAATGGGTTTTTTTCATAGGTCTATTGTTTTATTTTATACCACGTGTTTGTGTGTACTTTAAATAGGTATTCAAATTTCCAAGGTTCTGTTCTAAATAACTACACGATGGATAAATGGATAATTAAAGTTCCTCCTAATGACGAGGTAAAAGTAAAACTTTTAGTTTCAGTTTCAGTTATTTGTTTTTCAGCATATAAAAACTTTATCTTTGTTTTCCAGTACAAGGTGTGTTCAGAAAATATCGGGAATTTTCGTTTTTTGAAACAAATATTTATTTATTCGTCCACATTAATGTTGTCGCCTTCAAAATAGTCCCCATTGGATATTATGCACATGTGCCAGCTCTTCTTCCAATACTCGAACCACTTCTAAAACTCGATCTTTGGGATAGCCTTTAGTTCTTTCTGTGCTTGCAAAACGACTTTATTTTTGGGAATAGGAAAAAGTTAGACTGGCGAATATGGAGGCTGGCGCATCATTACAGTATTGTTTTTGGCCAAAAATTTTGTTCAAAATTTAACAATTTTAGAACAAATTTTGCTGCCACGCGTTTCATACCCAAAACATTCGAAAAAATTTCATGGGATGAGCCAATCGATATACCAACATCATCAGCGACTTCTCTGATGGTTTATAACCATTTCTTCCACTTTTTCCATGTTTTTATCGGTTGTTAATGTGCTTGTGCGTTCGGGGCGTTCGTCATCTTCAACGTCTTCACGGCCATCTTGGAAACTTGTAAACTCTTGTTTTACTTATAGCAGACTCACATAGGCCTTTGTTAACATTTCACAGAATTTATTTCATTTTTTAAACAAAATTGGATACAAATTCTTTGATCAATTTCTTTTAACGAACGAAAAATCGCCGAGCTCATAAAACACGTCTAACCTTAGCGGCTGCCACAAACAAAGTAAACAATGAAAACAGCTAAAGTTTTTATCATACTTCGGGGGCATGTATACCAACATAATAAAGAAAATTTTATGACAACCGGACCCTCTGAACCCGCGAAATTTAACAATTCCGTTATTTTATGAACACACCTCGTATGTGTGGGGAAGTTTAGGAAGCTGTAGGGAGTTTTACCACATGATGTGGGGAAAACCCGATACAAACCAAAATAGTGTTAAATATGGTTCGTTGGTCCGGTGTAAATTCAAATACTAAAATAGTGTTAATTTAACTTTCACACAGTAATAAAATAAATTTTACCTGGTATAAATTGAACTCCTTTTTAGTGTTAAATATTATGTGTTTTTGGTCAAATTAAATCATACTACACAGAAAAAGGGAAACAGAAAGTTCCTTGACGCATTACTAGTATATTACCAGTGGTATTATGCCAGAAAATTGAACCTTCAACTCGCTAGGGATAATGTTTTTAGTGCGTTCTTAGTGCGTTCCACTAACTTAAAATACATCAAGTATTGACAGCTGTTTCCACCTATTTAAGGTCTCTTTAGTAACGAACAACTGGTAGTGTCACACCAAAGCAAAGGACTACCTAAGCTTATATACTTTTCATGTAAGTCAACAAAAGCGAGATTTAAGAACATCACGTGATCCACACCGCCTTTGCAGCGGTACACACTATGCAACCCTGAATGCACGGCAAATTGTTTTAATCGTTTTAACAGAGTGCTTTAGGTTGAAGTAACTCTTATTTTAGAAACAACATATTTAGTAAACTGAACCATACAGCGCGCTGCAGCGGGTTGGTTTCACTAAAGTTTTCTGGGTTAATTTAACCAACTTAAAAAAAAAATAACTATCTGGTTTAGTACCGTCAGACTAATCTTTGTTTAAATTAACCTTCCCAGAATTGATAAAAATAAAAAAAAAACAAAAATAAATACTTATGGGTCAACTAAATTAATATAGTTAAATGAACTATTCCTTTTTTTTCTGTGTAGGTGCACTTCTAAAATATTTTTAGATAAACACCGTTTTGGTGTTTGCTGTATATAATATTTTCAACCATAATTCATGGTGTTATATTAACACCACTTGGTGTTGGATTTTGACACCATTTTAAGATTACTCTTTACACCACAGATATTTTAAACAGTGTAAGATTAAAACCAAAAAAAACACTCAAATGCTAATGTTACTTACCTACCTTTTACGTTCATTTTACTAAAATAAACTTTTTATTTATTAAAAATGCCATTTTTATTACTTTGATTGAAGTCATATTTTTTTAGAATTTTCAAAACTTCGAGATTAATGCGCCACCTCAAAATATTTAAAAAAAATTATAACTGTTTTTTTCACTCCACCCTAACGGACACCCAGCTGGGTCTCAAAAATGGCGAATGCACTAGTGCATTCGCCATTTTTGAGAATATGGTTTTTATTTATAAAAAAATTATTTTATATTAATTTTGCCATTTTACCATTTTAATAAACATGTTAGACTAAATTGTTCTATGACATCAAAAATTAATTGTAAATATTTTTATATGTAGGTATCATACATTTTATATTCATGTTATTCTTTACTATCAAAGGACAATGTATTTGTTTATAACAAATTTACATAATAAGTGCATTACTACAAAAAAGAGTGTTTAAGTGTAAATATGGCAATAAAAAGAAAAACACAGTCGCATATTTTATTATTTATTTTTATAAAATTTTTTCATCATCTTTTAAACCTGTTATTTCTTCAGACTTCCTCCATACGGCTTCAATTAACTTTTTATCATAACAACTAGAAGGTAAAAATTTAAATAACTTGCAATCTATAAAATGTTCTCCTGTCACATTTTCTAGTTCACTTGACACTGCCAAATGGACTGCCGTCTGGGCTCCCTCCCAAGAACTCTAAAAAAAGAATATATATATAATATATTATATAAAGTTCATTTTTTTAATCTGGACTGCGGCAACGTTGCAAATTTAGGGTTTTGGTTGGTAAATACAGTTGGTCGCATTGATTAAAACAAATTAAGCTAGTTTTAAATCTAATTGTGGTTATGAAAAAATATTGTAGTTTAAATTGTATAGTTGTCAAGTTGAGTTGTCGAAATTGGTAATTAAAAATGCAATTAATTTGGCTTTGGTGGTGCTTGGATGAGTAAAATCATATAAAAAAGTAGTTAAATATAGGTTGCTTTACGGCCCAGAAGAGAAAGTATTCCTAGCGGATAATAATCTTCGCTTTGAAAAGAATTTATATAAAATAAATTAAGTTATAAATTACTAGTACATATTTAATAAACGACGACATTGAAAAGCCAAGTCCGTAGTGGTTCCATTTAAAAAAGGAGGGATAGTATAATCTAATATAAGTTTGACAAAGACAGTTAATATAAAAGTAAAAACAAATAAATAAAAGTGATTATAACGCTCTAGCAACGATATTGAAACGTTCTAGTAACGTAGCAGCTACGTTCCAAATAGTAGCAGGGTTTATAGCTAGTGACATATTTGTTACCTTTTTGGAACTCAATAATTGTTCCCCTCTTTAGTCGTAACTTAGTAATGAAAGAGTAATATAAAGAGACCGGCGACTGTCACAAAACACTTTAAAGTTTCTTCAATAGTCCCATATACGTAACAAATACTAAAATTGTTGCTTGGGATTTTAGTATCAAAAAACATTTATTAAACTTACTTTTCCAGCAACATTGATAAGAATATTCCAACAAAGCAAATTTATCATTTGACACAATACATCCTTCCTTAAACCACTTAGCATATTTGTCCTAACACAACCTGGATGTAGGGAGTTACATGTAACTCCGTAACTTTTAAGCTTTCTTGCAAACTCATTTGCAGCAATAATATCACACAGTTTACTATTAGAGTAAACCTTATGCTGTGGTATGAAATCAGAAGCTTGTATATCTTTTGGGTTCAAATCTTCCAATTTTAGATTAAAAAGGTAGGCATAAAAAGAGCTTGTAAATATTACTCTACTTGGTGAGGATTTTTTTAATAAATCTAAAAAAATATTATGTACAAAATTAATGTTATAAAGCCTAAAGAAAACCTTATTTACCTAGTAGCAGATGCGTCAACAAGAAAGGCCCATAATAATTGATCTGGAAGGTTCCATTTATCCCATCCTCTGTAACAATGGGCCTATACATTGGCACTCCCGCATTATGTATTAAAATATCAATTCGTTTTTCTGTACTTCTGATGTCACTGGCAAAATCGCGTATTGATTTAAACGAAGCCAAATTAATGTGCTTGCAGAGAATGTTCGGATTTGTTGACTCCTTTATTATGCTCATCACCGAATCTGTTGCGTCATCTTTGTCAGCTATTATCACTCTACAACCTCTGGAAGCCAGGTTTAAAGCTATCTGATAACCAATACCTAAAATGGGATTTTCGTTAACACAAGATTTGAGTGCAGCTAAATAAAATCGTATAAAAAATATTAACTTTTACCTGCATTTCCTCCAGTAACAATAGCAGTTTTGCCAATTAAACAGACAGGACTTCTGGTGATGCCACATGTTAGTCGACTAGCCACAAAAAATATCAACAAAATTAATCCCAATAACAGCAGAGCATATAGTAGTAACATTTTGTATTCACTGAAATAATGCGTTAATAAAAAACTTATTTATAACTTTAACTTGTGAAGGCAAAAGGAAAAAATACGCCTATCATTAAACACTTGTATTAGCCAGACCGTTCTGAATACAAAAGAAACATTTTTTATGTTTAAATGTTTGTTGTTAACACATTTCTAGAAAACATTGCTACATCGATTAATATATATATGTACTTGCTAACCGTCATAACAAGTAATAGTAAAAAATTAACACAATCATTTAATTAAAATCATTTACATTTTAAGTTAGTTTAATTAACATTAATTAAAACCTTCTTAAAATTTAAGTTTCCAAAAGCACATGTTGACACGTTTACGCATCTGCTAAACCTGCTTGTGATGTGTGCCTTTAGGATTCATTTAATTTATTTAACAAAAAGTTGTCAGAAACACCACAACGTCTTCCATGCATGTCTTATACAGAATCACTCCCAAGTAAAATTTTAAATGCAAAATAGGCTCTAAAAAGGTTTTATTATGACGGAAATAATGAAAATTGTTTTAAAAAGGGTCCACATTAGAATCTTTGCCTTTCAAGGTTATTTACTACTAAAATTAACTTTATGTCGACTGAGGTAAAACCTTAATAATGCTAAATTGTTTTATTATTGTTTTATCAATGGTTTTATGATTGACAACTTTGATTTATGACATATCACAATTAAAACTATTAGTTTTACGAGTGTAGTAGCGTTGACATATATGATATATCCGATATGCTTTGACTAAAAAAAGTTTTATAAAAGTTTTATGAATGTATCTTTATGAAATTTAAATAAATCTTTTAAGTCCATTTAAGTACATTTGCTCTTACCGGGTAAAAAAAATAAAGTCTAATGGTTATATATTCAACGATATGTAAAATGGCGGAACTATGAAATAATAGTTATTTGTTTTACAGGTGTTGAAAAGCGACTTTTTCATGGAGTGTTTAAGTTGCTCACACGGCCGTCAGGCCGAGTGTGCATTAACACGAGCTTGAAGAAAGCTTTTCTTACAAGTAAAACACAATGTTTTTTCTACGACCCTTTTATTTTTTATTATATTCAAATACAAAACAAAATAACCTAAAAACGTGTTTGGCAGCTGTTAAAATTACTTCCATCTTATTCTTTTAATCTTTAAGGTATAAGTTACTTAAAATCAATAAACTTACCTTCTCAATTTAAATAAAGGCACTAAAAATTAGAATTTATTATACAAACACAAATAATTGTATTCCAAATGATATTTAAACATACATATACAAATACAATACAAATTTTGAAACCAATATCACGATGCCGTTATAGTTATTTACGATATAAGTGGGATAAGAGCTTTATTAACGTACGCATGCGAAATTTGCCCAACGAGTGCGTAGCACGAGTTGGGCAATCGCAAAAGTACGTTAATAAAGCGTTATCACACGTATATTGTACAAATTTTTATCTACGCCTCTAAATGAAAAAATAAACGGTAATTATTTTTGTCTAAGACTTAATTTAGGGTTATTTTGACATTTTGACTTTTTTATTTGATTGGTTAAAAGCAGAGAAAAACGCGTGCGTTAATGAACTTCTTATCTCACTCAAAATGAGTGGGATAAGAAGTTCTTATCTCACTGGCGTAGATAAATTTCTTTTCTTACTGACCTGTCACTTTTCACACAGAAATGTCACTTTACATTCGTGTTTTGCCTTGCCAATGAACAGATTTATTTTCTAAGCAACGATGCCAATACGAAATGTGACTTTTACATAGTGGTCGTAGAAAAAATAATTTTTATTCACCTTCATGAAAAATCAACAAAAGTTATTTTAAGTGTTGAAAGTTGGTGTTAAGTGAAAGTATAAGTTAATTAATTGTTATAATGATTATTATAATTTGACAAAATATAAAAACTAGACATGACCGGCGTCACCTATGTGAACTTGGCAGACCAAAATACAGCAGACCATTTACGAACATTCCCGAATAAGTAACGAATTTTATTAAAATAAAAAAATATTTAAAATGGTATAAAAACTTCAATTTAAATTCTGTTTGCGCCGAACTTGGTCTATTTAATGTCATTATAAACTATTATACATTTGGTGTGGGTCTCATGTCTAATAACTGAAATATTGGTATACCCAAAATCCACCCTAAAACCTAAAAAAATGTTTAATATAAGGGTATAAAAAATAAATAATAATGTAATACTTGGGGTTTTTATATTATTAAAAATGTATAACAATACATTACAGCTCTAAGCTGCGAGAAGCTTCAATGTACAACTTTACACAGTTATTTAAAACTTTGTTTTTGAGTTCTATCATAAATCAATAAATTAAAACATACATATACAATTTGTATAAATAAATTAAATAAAAAAGCTAATAATACATGATGTTTGAAAAACCATACTTCAACTCCTTATGCGGGCATCTGTAGATTGTGAATAACAGCATAAGTGAACTCCTGGGTGCTGGATTGGCCGCCAATATCTTTAGTACGCACTTTGCCGTCCTGCAAAACTTTGTCGACGGCGTTTCTAATCATCTGGCCGTACACGGGTAAATTTACGTGCCTCAGCATTTTGGCGGAACAAAGCAACATCGCAGTGGGATTGGCGACATTTTTGCCAACGGCTTCGGAGTAGGTGTGACGCGCACCCTAAGAAAACAAGTTTTATGTTTTTGTTATTATACAGGGCGCCCCTGTTGTGCTTTGAAAGAAAAAAGATATCGACATCGGACTAAAAGCATCGTCAAAGATATTAAGTATTAGGGTGGGCCGATCTTATATTTAACTTCTAAAATTTAAAAATACTAAATTCTGCATTTAAGAAAAAGTTGTGAAATAGGAAAGTTAACATTTTTTGCAAAATATTTTTTTTGATATCTATATGTTTTGAACTGCCGCAACGCCTCTAAAAATTTAAAAGTAATTTTTAAAAAAATTAAAATTATTCATAAGCGGGAAAGTTGTGAAATAGGAAAGTAAACTATTTTCCTATTTCTTTTTTAATGTTTTGAACTGTATGAAGTCAAACTGTAAATTTTAAATTTCGCAATAATTGCAATTATTGGAGAGACGGCGTAAAATGGAGAATAAATATTTTTTTAAGATTTTCGTGTTTGACGTAGGACAAATGACAGTTGGCTTCACTGTTTATATAAATTATAATATTTTGGCATTGTCAATTAGTTGAATAATAGAAATTTATAAAGTATCTGTTTGTGGTTTTTGGGTGTTTGTGAAAAATGGCAGGTAAAACAGGATTATAAATTGAATTAAATTTGTGTTGATGATAAATTAATTTTTATTTTTGTTTTTTTTAATAAATATTTATCATTCAAAACTTTTTTTAACCCTATTTTCTCTCAGATAATTTTTTCGTATTTATAACGATACTAAATTACATTAAGATGTTTCAAGGCCTTGCGGCAGTTTAAGAAATTAAAATTTAAAAAAAAAACTCTTATAATATTTTTCTGGCCTTATAAATGCACAACTTTTCCACCATTGCACAATTTGATATTTGAAAAATATTAAAATCGGCCCACCCTATTAAGTATACTACTTTTTGACGTCAAATTGATAGGTGCATATTTGTAATTACTTTGAATCATTCTGGAATTCCCCAAATTTTCTATAAGAAAGTATCTAAGTTACACTAAAAAGTATCTAACTTACTTTAAAAAGTATCTTAGTTACTTGAATGTATCTTAGATACTTTACCGAGTAACTAAGATACTTTTTTAGATACAAGTTACTTTTACAAAGTAACTTAGTTAAAGATACTTTCTATCCAATATAAAAAGTATCTAAGATAAAGTATCTTAGATCCCAAGCAGCACTTTTGGTTCCAAAAACCATTACCAAAGTGGTGATAACTTTAAAGTAGTTAAGTATACTAAACAGCTACTTTAATTTTTACTTAAAAGTAATTATAACTTTTAAATAGCAATATTTTGTAACAGAAACTTCATTATTTACTTACTATAAACTTTATAGTATAAAGTAATAAACATTTAAGTAAAACTTGGTTGCCCCCAAGAAGACTTTGCAACTTAAAAGTTACTAAAAAGTAAAAAAAACTTTTAAGTAAATTTAATTTGTAGCAATTACGTTCGGTTTCTACCTAAATATTACATTATAATTATTTTTACTTTGTAGTCCCTTTGTTAAAATCTCGAAACTGGAACATGAGTTAATAACTTAAAAGTTATTATTTTAGTATTTTGAACGTTTATGGTACTAACCAAAACTACCGCAAAGTAAAGTAAGGTGGAAAAAAACTTTAAAGTAGCGAAAACTACTTCAAAGGAAAATGCTTCTTATCGGCCATTTTTTACTGTACAGTAACACGTAGTAATGTAAATAATAAATTATTTTAATTGTTTGTAAATGGTTGTTTACTTTATAATTGTGACGTCAGAACCTGCGCTAAATATTAAGATTTTTTTATTTATAAACATTATTAAATAAATAATTTGTTTATACTTAAATATTGATGAAGCGCATTTATTTAACAAAAACTAAATTCATAAGTTAAACAGTAAAATTTAAAGGGTTTATAAATTTACCTGCCTAATTAAACATTATATTGTTATTCTGGAAGTTAACTTCCAGTATCTACATATTTAATAAACGACGACATTGAAAAGCCAAGTCCGTAGTGGTTCCATTTAAAAAAGGAGGGATAGTATAATCTAATATAAGTTTGACAAAGACAGTTAATATAGAAGTAAAAACAAATAAATAAAAGTAAACATTCAATTTTCTTAGTTTCTTTAAGAAACTTTCTTGACCCATTAATGGTAATATTCATAAGAAGTATAACGCTCTAGCAACGATATTGAAACGTTCTAGTAACGTAGCAGCTACGTTCCAAATAGTAGCAGGGTTTATTATATATAATAGGTAGTGGCATATTTGTTACCTTTTTGGAACTCAATAATTGTTTCCCACTTTAGTCGTAATATAGTAATACAAAGACCGGCGACTGTCGCAAAACACTTTTAAGTTTCTTCAATAGTCCCATATACGTAACAAAAACTTAAATTGTTGCTTGGGATACTTTAAGTATCTAAGTTACTTTCAAGTTTCTTTTTTTTCAAGATACTCCCAGCTCTGCACATAGCACATAATACAAAATCCCCTGTACCACGGCGTTCTCTAAGAGAACGCCGTGCCTGTACTTACAATCAATTTGTTTTAGTGGTTTACTGGTCAGATGTTAATCCACATTTTTTCGTGAAGGTCATACCAGGTACCAACAAAAAGTCAATGTATGCAACTGGGAAATCATATTGTATGACTCATATTTTCGTAAGAAAATTTAACAAGCATCTTGTACTTAAACCTGCTTCAAAGACGAGTCATCCAATAACTCAAGATATAGTTCAAGCTAATTCTGTCAAAATGTCCAAGAGGAGCATTTTGAACATTTAATTTGATGACCAATTGGAAATTTATTGTACTACTTAATAAATGAAAAAATTTAATCTGGTGATTTATTGATTTTAGATATGCGTTAAATAGACAGTCAAAATATCTTTCAAATGAGGTATCACAAGCCCCCCTATTCATTTAAAATTTTTAAGTTGATATTGCCCTCTTGGCACTCCTTAAATAGACACCTATTAATTTGACGTCAAAAAGTAGTATACTTAATATTCTTGACAATGATTTTTGTACGATGTCGATATTTCAGCGTATTTTTTAGATTTTTTTAATTTGTTGGACAAAAGTTTTTAGTTTTTTTTAATTTTTAATTTTTACTTATTCAAAATAAAAAAGAAATACTCCAAGGGTCTTCCAGAAATTATTTAGTTAGTTAAAAATACTAAAAACTACAAAAAATCCGAAAAATTGTACAAACATGCAAATTGCAAAAAACATTAGTTTTAAAATTTTGAAGAACATAATAATAAATGAACAATGACCATGACTTTGTTTTCTTTACCTTAATTGTTAAATTGTTTTAATTTATTTTTAGGTGCATGTTACTTTAATTTTACAGACAATAATTGTTATAATAACATCATAATAATTATTATTGTAATAAAAATTTTGTAAAAAAAATCCTATAAAAGAATAATTTTGTATATATATATGAACATAATAATATTATGTACCTTTTAAGGTGACCCATATACTTATTAAGGGACAAATATTCACAAAGTAAAAAATATTTTTAAAATATTATATTTTTACTTATACAGGATGGTCGGTTTTTCGTGGGACGATACCAACTTTATTATTTTCAATGGAACACCCTGTAACTATTTGCATTTTTAAATTCTGCACACTCTTTTAGGTATACTTTGTAAATATATTAATTAGGAAAATGTTAATACTTTTTGAGTAAAATAAAAAATTTATCAAAATTTCTCTAAATGTAGACATTCGCTAAAACCAACCAACTAAAACTTTGTATATTATGTAATATTCATATATTATATCACGAGAACTATGAATTTAATCGGTTAAACTAGGCTCAGTAGTTTTTTGTTTGGTTTTTCTTGGAAAATTTTGAATGCAAAATAATTTAATAAAATCACGAGACTGCGTAACGGTCGAGGGGTTTTATTTTTAATTATTTTGCATGAAACTATTTTCCAAAAAGAAAAATCAAATAAAAACTTACTAAGCATAGTTTGACAGATTAAATTTATAGGTTGAGTGATATACGTCTAGATTATTTCTCGAATTAAAGGAAACTATTTGACAATTCATAAAATCTGACGTATGTGTCAAAATTTATAAATATTTTTTTTTAAGAAAATCCCATTAATTTAAGGTATGTAATAAGTAATAATTGATATTTCGTAAACTAGATAACTTATTTTTTATTGTTTTTAAAAAAATGTTTGTTAAAACTTGTAAATAACACCATAAAATCGTAAACAAAAATCCAATATGGAGGCTAAAATTTAATCGCAGTTAAATAGTTCTAGTGATTTAATCGCTTATTTAAACGAAATTTATTCGAAAATTCAAGGCTTTTGATTGGTTCATATTATAATGAGGGAAATAATCAATAATAAATATTACTGTCAATTTGACATTTTTTAAATACTAAAAATACTAAATCAAACTGGCATGAGCTACCAACTTAACAAAAAAAACCCTAATCCAATAAAAAAAATGTTTATAAGTAAAATACGCATAATTTAAATGTTTATAAGTTAAATTGGCACATTAAAGTGTATGAATACAAAATTATTCTTTTATAGAACTTTTTTTTAATAAATTTTTAAAATATTAATCAGGGTTCCCAGCATTGTTTTGTACTTTTTTTTATGATTTTATGACAAATTTTTCAAATTTTATGACATTTTTTATGACAAGAATTTATTATTTCTAAAGTTATTTAATAAAATAAATGTAATTTTTTAACGGTTTATTATATAAAAATAAATATTTTTTCTCGCATCAAAATAAATATTTCTGCTATAATATTTTTAATATATGTTACTTTAGTATTTTATTATAATAGGTATTATAATCTCAAAATAAATAAAACCACAAAGGTATACAAATCTGAAATATTGGAGGCTCAAACAATGATAAACATGGGTTTCAAAAAAGCAAAAAAAAAATAGTATATAATAGTATATAATAGTATATAATATATATATTATACCTATAGGTACTATTTTTTTTGCTTTTTTAGACCCATGTTAATCATTGTTTGAGCCTCCAATATTAAAGATTTTTTAAGAGTAGTTATGTAGTTATTGTTAAGGTACTTCGATAATTTCTTATTTTCTTCAGAAATAATATTTCTTGTTATTTTTAACTCTGCTTCCTTACTTGCCAAAATAGTATCAATTTCTTCAAGTCCTTCTTTGTGCCTTCCTTAGTAAAGTAATATAGTATAAAAATAAATTTACCTTTCTCATTAATTATTTCAAATGTAAAATTCATTTCCTAACCTAACTTCTTTTTCCTTCATAGTATGAAGTTCATACGTCAACAACCAAGGCCATATTTAAAACATTTTATTGCGTTTTATTCTACAGGACTGGCTTTAAATTTTATTTAACAAAATTTCCATTTTATAAAAAAGATCAAAGGTGAGAAAATTGTTAAAAAATAATGAAATTTTATGATTTCTATGACAAAATGTGAATTTTATGACATTTTAGGACAATTTAACCAATTTTATGATATTTAAAAAATTTATGACAAACGGGAACCCTGAATAATATTATTATGTATTATGCAATAACAAGGGTGTACTCACCGGTTCGAAAACCACGCAGTCGGCCGAGTAGGAAGCACCGGCAACAACGCCAGCCCCTCCCACAAGCCCCGATGCCAAATTGTCGACGATGTTGCCGTACAAATTTGGGGTGACCATAACGTCAAATTGTTGCGGGTTCGATACCATCTGCATGGTACAGTTGTCGACGATCATGCGCTCAAATTCGATTCTTGGGTAAAGTTTTGCCATCTAAAACAGAGTTTTAGGGGGTTCCAAGATTTTTTAAAATAGTTTGGGTTATTTTTTTAAATAGTATACCACAAACACAAGTCTGATTATGTAATGGCCCATTCATAGTTTCATGGCTTAATAATGGCATTTTTAGCCTTTACATTGTCACAGATTGCAAAAACTCAATTTGTAATTGTTTAGGTTTATGCGATTGTGCTTTATGGGAAAAATTAAAGCTTTTATGGAGAAAAGTTAAATATAATACCTACATAGTTTTGGCAATTTTTGTATGTTGCAAAAACCCAAAGTGTTGTATTTACATTAAAAGATGTCACTAATAGTTTTGGATATTATATAAATAATTATTGAACACTTGAATGTTGAAAAAAATTAAACTTTACTTAAAATACAAGTATTGCATTGCAACATTGCACATCATTTAATAATAGAATAATAATCGTTTTAAACGTTGAGTTTCTTATAGAGAGACTTGCAAGCCTTAAAAGAGACCTCAAAGTGGTAAGAACAATCATTTTACTCCTCTTTTGTAAAAAATAAACCTTATTCTATCAAATGTCAATTTGAAGGTTAATTTAAGGTTATTTTATAACCCAAAAATTGACATTTGATAGAATAAGGTTTATTTTTTACAAAAGAGGAGTAAAATGATTGTTCTTACCACTTTGAGGTCTCTTTTATGGCTTGCATAACCAGTAAAAAAAATCCAACTCCTTTACCAATCTTTATAAAATTTTGGATAAAAATACTTTAACTTATATCTCAGTTTAAGTGTTCAAGGGTTTTTCGAGAAAATATCCTTAAAGCCCTTTTATTTAATAATAAAAAACGCTCGAAAAAAACTTTTACAGTGAAACTTTTTTTTAAGTAAATAAAAAAATATCCTGTGAAAGACAGTATTTTTGTTAGTAAACCCTGAAAATGTTGTACAAATCAAACGAACGGTAACGAAAATACAGCGCTTCAAAGTCGTCAAAAATGACCATTTTTCGGCAAAATAATCAAAAGGGGGTAATTTTTACCGACTTTGAAGCGCTGTATCTTTGTTACTGTTCGTTTGATTTGTACAAAATTTTTAGGGTATACTAACAAAAATACGGTCTTTAACACCATATTTTTAATTTACTTAAAAAAAATTCTTAAAAGTAAAAATCTCACCAAGTTTGAGCTCTTAATATCAATTTTAAGTACTATTTAAATTTCAAGTTTTACCGTTTAAAATGCATGTAAAAAATATATTTTTTTCAAATTTCTAATGCTTACCCACCTTTTACAATATTGCAAATCGGTTTGATGACCTTGTGGGGAATTTCGCGCACTTTTAAATTGCTCTGAAGTTTTTTTGTGTAACTCGGATTGGAAAAATATCTTTTTTTTTTTAATATTTAATGATGCCATTTTTATAACTGAAAAAGTAAGAAATTGATAATTACCAACTCATAATGTTATTTAGATTGATTTTTTCTATTTATTATCATTAAATTTCCCTACACTAAGAACTTTTTTAAAATTATTATGATTTCTCACTCATAATGAATATGAAAACGACACATTATAATTCATAAAAAAAAAACAAAACGAATTTTTTTCAAAAACTAGTGGTGAACCAATGCGAGTTACAAAAAAAACTCAAAAGCAATTTTGAAGAGCGTGAAATTTCCCACAAGTTCCATCAAACCGATTTGCAATATTGTCAAAGGTGGATAAGCATTAGAAATTGGAAAAAAAAATATTTTTCAGATGCATTTTAAACGGTAAAACCTAAATTTAAATAGTAAGTTAAAATTGATATTAAGAGCTCAAACTTGGTGAGAAGTTATTTTTCTATATGCAGATTAATCCGAAAAAAACAAAAACTTTGCGGAAATGAATCACCCTAATGTACAGTTCCAATAGAGTTAGCCTTTATAAGGCCTTTGGTTCATTAAAGGCACGTTTATAAAGGGCCATTATATAACCTTTAATGTTGTGTTTGCTGGGACATTTTTTGGCAATATCAAATTTTTACAATGGCAAAAAAGGGACTTGTTGAAAATGAAAACCCCTTAATTTTAGATATCTTTGAAAATATTTTTTATGCAGTGGCATCAGTAAATACAGCAAAAAAATCAAGATTTAATTTGTAAAAAAGTATATTTTTTTTAGTAGTGCTTATTAAGCAGTGATCTTATTCAACATGGAAACATAGTTTTTTCCACAATCCACACAACAAGGTCCGTTCTATCTCATGCTAAAAATACTAAAAATCACTGCAACACTGCACAGAGTTTAACTGCGGCCATTTTTGTTGTTTACAATTCTTGTGCTTTGGGTTTGTGCTGCCTAATAATTGTTTTAAACGTTGTGTTTCTTACAGAGGCACTTGTAAGCCTCAAATAAGGCCTTTAAGTGCCAAGGACAACCATTTTACTCCTCTTTTATAATAAATATGCCTTATTTTATCAGGGCTGTCAAATGACAATTTGAAGGTTAATTTGTGGGTTATAATTTAACCTTAAAATTGACATTTGGCAGTTTTATGACAGCCCTGATAGAATAAAGTTTATTTTTTACAATAGAGGAGTAAAATGGTTGTTCTTAGCACTTTAAGGACTCTTTTAAGGCTTACTATGAGAAACACAAAGTTTAAAACGATTATTAATCTGTATAAACAGAGCACAAACCCAAAGCACAAAAATTGCCGTTAAACTGTGCAGTGTTGCAGTGATTTTTTGTATTTTTAGTTCGAGATAAAACAAACCTTGTTGTGTGGATTGTGGGGATTTTTCAGTGGAGTAGAAAAAAAGTAAAAATCTCACCTGTTCGCAAGATTTCAAGAACAAACCGTCCCCAAGCTTCATAATATTGGCTTTATGCACCGCAGTGACCTTCTTCCTGCCGTTCTTGGTGGCGTAATCGAAGGCGAATTTCGCAATCCTTTGGGATTTTCTCGCAGTCACGATTTTCAAACATTCCACCACCCCTTTGACGCTCTCGTGTTCCAAGGCCGAGTACTCGCCTTCGGTTTGTTCGCGAATGATAACGCAGTCGATGTCCTTGTGTCTGGACTTGATGCCTGGAAGCGACTGGACGTGGACGACGTTCGCGTACAAGTCCAGGTTGTTTCTTAGTTTCATGTTTAAGGTTGCGAGTTCGCCTGTGTGGCTGTAGTCAGGCGATGCCAAGATACCTTTAAGGAAATGAGTAAACTTAAATCTGCATCGTTTCAAAAAAACTAGATAGGTAAGTCAAAAACTATCATAAAAACTCGAACATCCAAATGGTGCAAAAATGTTTTTGTACTTTTTTACAGTTTTAAGGTCTTTTTAAATGTAGCTAGTCCCATGGGACATGCATGTATTTTTTCCTTAAAAATCCTATATGATTACTAGAGTGATTCAAAAAATTGGTTGATGGGCATTTCAAAAGAAGCCTATCTACGTATGTCATACTTTTAGCTTTTACTATTAAAAATAAGATCCTCCTTATTACAATTTTTCATTTTCACATTAGTCTAATGAAAAACATATTGGATCTAGGTAAATTGAGGTACATTACAAAATAATTATAAATCCAATATTTTTTATTTAAAAAAAGTTTCAAATTTAATTTTATTATGTAATTTTAATGTTTTAGGACTATTTATTTATATAAAATGATAAAAAATAAATTTCTAAAGACGTTTTAAAAATTAAAAAATTTTTTTTAGCGCGCAGCAGATGTACTGTTTATTTTCTTTCCATAACAACCGTTTTTAGATGTGTGATAAATAAGGCCTGGATTTTTAGGTTATAAAAAAGTAAAAACAGGTTCCTAAATTAGGTAATTAGTTATAAAATTAGGTTATTATTTTTCTTGCCTAAATTTTAGGTACTTAAATAAAAAAATAAAATTAGATGATTTATTGAATTAAAATTGTTTCATTATAATGTCGATATTGTTGTAAAATATGTCTTATGTAGTTTAGTTACATACATTTTCGGCAATAAAGGATTTAATTTAAAAATGAAATAGTTAATAGTAAATAGTAAAATAGTAATTTATTATAACATTACTTAAAAAGGGACAAGTTTCGTGATATTTTAAACAAATATAAGAAATATTCCCCAACACCAAAACAAACTGCTTAAAGTACTTTGCGCCAACGATGTTGGCATCTTCAGAAGAGAAGTTTAACTGAGTTTTCTAATATTTGTTTGATTATTAACTGAACAAAAATGTTTTGTTGGAAAAATAGCAAATAAAATAAAAAATTCTTTAAAAAAGTGAACATATTAAATTAAAAATAATGTAAAATAGCACCATAATTATTTTTATTATTATTAGGTAGGTATATATTATTTATCGGCCATTTCAAGCGGATGGACGAGACAAATCACAAAACTGTTTTTATAAAAAAAATTTTGGTAATTCATTATATATTATTTTTGCATCAAAATTGTCAAATATATTCTTCTATTATTAGGCTATATATTAAATTAAAAAAATCGCAAGAAATATTTTATAAAAGAAGAGATAATTTCAATAATTGACAGGGGTGGACGGGACAAGATAGATCTTTTTTTTGTCCCATCCACCCCTTTCAATTATTAAAATTATATCTACTTTCATAAAATATTTCTTGCGTTTTTTTTTTTAATTTAATGTATAACCTAATAAAAGAAGAATATTTTTGACAATTTTGATGCCAAATATTATATAATAAATAATCTACAATTTTTTTTATAAAAACAGTTTTGTAATTCGTGCGTTTCGCGCGCTTGAAATGGCCGTAATGCATTATACATATTAAATTAAAAGCATAAAATGCAAAATTAGTACATTTTGGGTAAAAAAAGTTCGTTTTAGGTATAAAAAAACAATTTAGGTGCAAAAAAGTAAAATAGGTGGAAAAAGTAAGGTATTTTAGGTCAAATAAAACTTAGTCAGATGACTTCATTTTTTATCAAAAAATATCTTTAAAACCGAAAAACGAACAAAAGGTGTTTTACCTCGAATACGGGCCTTAGTGATAAAACACAGCGTTGCCGAGTTTTTTAAACTTTAATTAATTGAAGCATTAATCTCGAAAACTACTTGTCGCAAAAATGTTTTGATTTTTTTTTATACAGCGCTGCAGCGTGCCATTAGCGATAGTGCGATATTTTTCCTTTTATTATTAGCAAAATTATTTTAAATTATAAACAAAATATTAAAATAATAATGAATTGTATAAAAAATTAAATAATTCATTTTTTATACTACAGAAAAATCTTAAAAACGGTGAGAATATGTAAGAAAATCTTAAAACCATTAATAAACCATTTAATCAAAAGAAATAAGCTAATACTTAAAAAAGTACAACACACATATTAGAAATATTCCTCAACAACAAAACAAAACACAAAGTACTTAAAGCTTAAGCACTTTGGGGAATATTTCTAATATTTGTTTATAAGAAATAAGAATTATATAAAATACAAGATTTGAAAATTAATTAAGACAAATATATTTTTAGTCGACCTTAAGAAAAAAGTGGATTTTTATTACTCAAAAGCGGCGATAAATAACTTTTTCGGCCGCTTTATGTGGCGCCATCTATCGCTGATTAATAATTATTTTTTAAATTAGGATTACCTTAAAATATCATAAAAACAAAAAAAAAGTTCAAAAGTGTACACTGAAAAATCGAAAAATTGTATTAAATCAAAACAGAACATCATACACTTTTGAAGCTGAATACTATACCTTTAAGGCAGACTCGGTTTTTGGCGATCGAAGCTGCCACATCCTCCAAGGGAGCGCTAAGGGTTGGGTTAACTTCCGAAAAAAAGTACGATTCAAAGTCGACGGGGATACCGGCCGCTTTGAACACTTCTTGGACAGAATAAACGAGTTCGGGACCAACGCCATCTCCCGGAATCAACGTGCAACTCACTCTGGTGTCTGGACGTTCAGCTGGGTTAACCTAAAATGGGTTTTTTAATAGAGACATCCACATTTATCTACGGGTTTTTTTCGTGAATAATGATAAACATTATAAATTTCCTGTCTAACAACGTGAATAATGAATTCATTATTAAGTTAACCCTTGGTTACTCAGGCAGACTTCATGAGGCAGTGTACTTTATACACCACAAAAATTTACGTTTTTTTAATACCAACAATCATTAAATAACAAGTTGGTACAGGTTTGACATTATAAATGCTTTTTATTAATTCTTTGCAAACAAAGTTTTGCCATGGTGCATTATTTTTCATTGTAGTCAGTTTATACATAAATACTTATAAATTATTAAATAAAATAAGCAAATTGCTTTTAACATTGCAAACTTTAAGATGGCCAAATCATAAAAAATTAACAAATAAATCATGTCTCAAATAGACTAAACAATTAAAGTTTAAGTTAAGGTGTAGTTTTTTTTCGCAAGATAGTGCTGTACAATATACACCACTGTGAGTAAATAAGGGTTAATACTGTCATGATGAAATAGAAATAACTCTTAAGAATGTTAAATAAAGCTGGATGACAGTGTCATCCAACTCTATTTAACATTCTTAAGAGTTATTTCTATTGACAATTCATTTTTATTTTTAACAATTATTTTAAGTATTAAGACAGTTAGACAGTTAGCACTTCCGTAGAATCTGTGATTAGATATATATAAATTATTTATATTTTTATTGTTATACTGTACATATCTTGTATACATGTTATATTTATATTGTTATTTTTTGTATAGGTATGAGATAGCTTTCTTGCTAAATAAAGATTATTATTATTATTAGTTATACCTATTTAAAAATGACATTTTTAAAAGAATTAAATCTAGCCACAAAGACTAGAGATTCTAGTCAGTGTACCTATCTAGCTTAAGAGCTTAGATTTTTGTAATTTTTATAACCTTAAAATATCGCACTTTTGACGTTTATTTTTTAAAGTATCACCATGTGTATTGATGTTTAACTTACTGCGGTAGCATTCTGGTTAACAGTGGTATGAATATTTCTTGCCGAGGCCTACAAAATTTAAAAATAAAGTGTTGAAGTCATATGATAGCTTTAAGAAGGTATTATATCATCAGTCTAATTCAATTGTAAATGATTACTCACTTGAACCAATATTCTGGGTATGTTCCTCGTTAAAAACGACATATTTATTGCTTTTTGGACTAGAATGTGATTTACGTCGAAGAATTTAACCAAAAATTTACCCCAAAAAAGATTTTTTGGTTATAAAGACACTCTGTTAGGGTGACAGCTAGCGGAAAAAAAGATAAACTATTGATTTAGAGATCCATTGAAAGATGGCGCCAAAAAAATAAAGTAATCTGTTTTATGTTTTAACAAATTAAGGTATAAATTAGAGATAACCTAGATTAAATATGTAAATTTCAGAGATATATCTATATCTCTGGTAATTTGTACAATAACGACTACCCTGAATAATTGTTTTTAAAATGTTGAATTATTTTTCTTTTACTAATGCGCCATCTTATGTAATGTAATGGAAGTTGTTTGACAGTTGTTTAAATTATTTTGAATAAAACGACTTAAATAATAATTATTTGATTTTAATAATGTTTTTACTTAATTAAGTTTATTTTTAAAATACCAGACTGGAGATATTCCGGATATAATTAAAAATTGTGTTTTTTTAACAGGGGGTAGTGGCGCCATCTATTTTGGTTATGGCCAGGCTTTTTAAATTAAAGTGGTGCTTGGGGATATTGTGAAAGTGGCCGGGAGAGGTCGCATTGACAACGTGACGTCACAAACAACGATCATTCAAGAGAGAAATATGTCGGCGTGCAAGAGGAACAAGTGATAGTTATTGTGTAAAAATATTCGTGATTCGGTATTCCAAATTAGTAACTAATTATACATAAAGACTTATTTCAAATTAATAAACTATGGCACAAATAATCGGAATAGGAAAACCGGACTACATAGTTGGTGGAAAATATCGTTTAGTTCGCAAAATCGGTAGTGGATCATTTGGTGACATTTACTTGGGCATAAATATCACAAATGGAGAGGTAAATAACAGTGCATTATTAAGATTAACAACAAAATCAGTGAAATATCCGGGCGGAATTGGCTTTTTGGCCTTTCTTTGTGTGAAAATGTTAAACTCGTTTGACACGAGCAGACCGTAATGGCAGCCATATCAATCCCCAATCCGTTCTTTATTTACGTTATGCTTAAGCCTAAACAAGCCTTATTTTACCATATTTCTGTTTTCCATTGCGTTTTACGTGCCAAATTGTTTGTTTTAACGTTCTAAATTACGAACCCGCATTGTTTTGTAACCATTCAAAAGTAGGTTACATTACCAGGATATAAGGCTCTTACGACACATTTCACAAGTTTGTTATAAAATTGCCGTAGTTTTACACAAAATTAACCACACATTCTAAAAATTTGCAGTTATTTTGTTATTTTATCGTTAAAATAACCGATTTTAAATCAAACGTTTTAAACAAATATAAGACACAAAAATTAATTATCTATATTCAGGGTCTTATTTATGTAAATATATTAAAAATGTTAACTTAAGCTAGATATGGCTGTTTTAATAGGATTGTCAACTAGCTAGATATAATTGTCTTATAAATGTCAACTTAAGCTAGATACAAGGCTAGATATAACTGTTTTAAGAATATCAACTTAAGGTAGATATATTATAACTGTATTAAGATAAACTTCATATAACAGCCTTAAGAAACTACTTAAACTTTACATATATTTTTTTAAATATATAATAATATTATGTACCTACTTACTCACTTATATTTATATAGGTAACTCTCTTAAGAATGTTAACTAAAACTAGATATATCTGTATTAAGATAATCTTAAGCCAGATGTAACAGCCTTAAGAATCTCAACTTAAACTTTATAGATGACATTTTAAAGACTTATATCATAAGTCTTTAAAATGTCATCTTTAGCTAGATATTATATAATGGGTGTTATAGGAATATCAACTATAGTTTTTACTAAATCAAAAATAAACTGAAGGTATTGATGGTTAAAGGTGTGAGATACTACTTTAAATAAGAATTATACAAAAAATAAAACTGTTTTTAGCTAAAATAATTATCATTTTACATAATCACGAAAAATCTTGATTCAACCAAAGCAATTTCGCCCACCTAGGTTATTTCACTGGATCTAATTTTATTCAAGGATAAAAGTGCATTGAATTAAAATGATTTAAGTTTAATGGTTTTTTCTTTTTTGTATTAATAGGAAGTTGCCGTAAAAATTGAACAAATTAGAGCCAGACATCCCCAACTTTTATACGAAAGTAGACTGTACAAAATCCTCCATGGTGGAATAGGAATACCACATATTAGGTAAGTTAGTTTTTATTTAATCAATCTTGGAAATGGTCCAAGTAACAAGAAGAATCTTGTGCAGACTTGTTCGCAGAAAAAACACGTGTATTTTATCCCGATTCACCTTAATTTTACCTCATTTGCATAGGTTGGGATTTGTTGAGTCAACAAATGTTTGCAACATCTTGCAACACTGGTTATAAATATACTATAAAATCGTTTTCCAAGTAAATAATCTTCTTAGGTTAATATTATTTTATATTTCTTACAGTTTGTACACTTGTACACAAAAACATTACAGTGTTGCCAGGCAGCAAATCTTGACTATGCTGTATGCATAAGAAAATTTCAAGATTGTTAAATTTTAGCTAATAGAGTTCATGGGAGTTATTTTTTTTTAAATCTATTAATTTCTAATGTTTAAATGACAACAAAGCTGCAATGTTTACAAATAAATTACTACAATTTTTCTATTTATATCGTCGTTAAAGTAGAATGTAGAATAAACAAAGCTAACTAAATTATCGTTATTTAATGACATGTAAAACTATTCGAAGAAAAAAAATATAAAAACAACGCAATGATGTGGTCCATTGTCCAAAATTTCTTTTATCGAAATATCGCCTACACACAAAAACATTGTGTTTTCAAGTAATTGCCAGGTTTTGTGGCATAATCAATGGTAGAAAGTATGGCTTCGTAAAATTCTCTAAATAAGGACTGTTTACGAGATTTTACACTGCTTTAAATTGGCAATGTAACCTTGACGGAGTTGCATAATTTTATAAGCGATAGCGCAAAATGAAAAACAAATTTTCGCGAATTCTTAGCAATTTTGAGATCGAATCTAACCCCCAAATTGAGAGCTGTGAGGCAATATTACTTAATTTAAGTACCTAAATATTTTGTTAAATTAATCTTAATAATTTACTTTGAAGTAAAACTTTTTTTAAAGGTATTTAATAAGTTTTATTTATGTTATTTTTACCTATTTTAATAACCCTTAAGTTTCAACACTTTAAAGTATTATGAGGGACGTAATTTTTACGAAAGAAAATTACTTACACATAAGTGTATTTCACCTAGTGATAATTTTAACGTCAGAATTTTTACTTAATGGTAAATGTTACTCATAATTCATAATTTTACGATATTAAGACCACTTTATAACCGTAACTAATTCCTATTCGCCTGGTATTTTTAGGGTTATTAGTGGTAATAAATACTATTAATATTGACTAAACAAGGAAAAATAAGCTTAAAGTGAAAAATAAAACTTTAAGGGAAAATTTTTTTCAGATCGCCATAATGAGTTTTTTAAGATGGCATCCATTACTTATCTAAACATTTATATAATATTTTTTCATAAATATTTTTCTAAAATATAATAAGGAAAGTTTTAGTTATTAAAAAATGATTAAAACTAAATGATTTTTAAAAGATTTTATAAAATTTTGTAGGTTTTAAGTTTTGTTGAATTTTTACCCAAGCATTAATATTTCTTAAAACCGTAAAATATTTAGAGGGCATATAATTTTTAAGATGTATCGTGCCTATTTTTTATCAATAAAATAATGTGCATTTGAGTTTTAATGCAAAATATTATTACTTTGTAAGTACCATTTTGTAAAATATAAATTAAAAGAACACAGAAATTACGAATGTCATTGTTTTAGAAAGAGAGAGCAAAAAGTTAGTAATTATAGCGTTATTTTTACTTAAATGTGTGGTTTTTATATTGTTTTTATTACGGTATTCTCTTAGTGGATCAAAAATTTGTAGTTATTTGAACTTAAAATGCTGCTTGGGGTGGGTTATCCTTGCCGATACGTATTTTTTAAATACTTGTTTATATTTTGACATCCTTTATAATATTAAAGGTGATCCCGCATGTTTGTCGATCGGCAGTTGTTTTTGGAGGGCATGCGCCAACAATTAAATTCGCGACAGTAGTACTGTTATTCGTAAAATAAACGATTTGTACTGTACGACTTGGAAACGGTAAAATTCGAACTGCTTTTTGCGGCGATTCCATCGGACAAAATACGAATGCATCTACCGTTAAATGAATTTTAGTGTATTTGTTTGTATTTAAGACTTCCATTGAGTCCTGCGAACGAATTACGATATTATAGTGTATTGAAATAAAAAATAATTATAGAATCAGTTGTCTGCTTTTTAAACCGAATGTAATAAAATGAAAAAGTTGCTACTTGGTACCTATCGCTATTTATGCATTAAGCATAACATGATAATCAATACTATTTTATTACCCATATCATAACAGCTTTGCTAACAAAGTGAAAATCGTACAACCATTATTTTCGAGTGCACAATTTAAAAACGACTAAAGTTTCAAATTAAAGCGAATCTAGGTTACAATTGAGACCACTTTCCTTTGCTGTTTTTGTTAGTCATGCAACCAAACTAAATTTAATTGTTTTTTATTAACATTTGTGGCCAATTTCGACTGTACACAATACTCGAAACCGATTTAAATCGCAGATAAAATGTAATTCGGTAATTTTTTTGTTCACGAGGACCTTATAAAGAATGACCTTTACTGGATCAGACGCACAAAAAGTATGCTCAACCTAAATTAATTAAATCTGGAAAAAAAATTATCAATCTACATATTTCAAGATAATTTGGTTCAAGTACCTTAAACGTTTAACATTAACATAAAAAGGTTACAATCAATGAATATTTAATTTAAACGGTATAGTCCATAATATTCAGTCATCCCAGATGTTACTTGTAAGTATAATAAATCCTCAAAACATTTAAAATACCATAGTTTTAACATCATATCATTTCTGCATATGCTAATTTTTTAACCAATTATCCTGAATGATTCAGCACTGACTGTACCTGATATACAAACGTATTTTTATTATCTACGTTATTCACATGCCTTTTCCATTTTATCTAAAATTAAATCCACAATTTCAATTAATTAACCAAGCTTTTCAGCTTTTAAAATGTAAACCCAAAGAAAATAGATAATGACATAATGAAGACCCAACTTCTATTAATTAACATAGATACTGGCTTCATTTACCATAAGCCTGTTTCTTGTAAATAAATAAATACTCTCTACTGAATAAAAAAACTGTATAAGATGTTCTTTAACTGTTTAAATGTGTGACTATAAATTTAAGACGGTTTAAATGTCGCAAAACTGTGCCCTTACTGCCCAAATATGCCTGAATTGCCTTAAAACTGTCTTAAATGTTCTATATCTATAAAATCCTAAAACTGATAGAGGCACGTTTTTTTATTTTACATGTTTAAATAATTTAAATATTAAATCAATTATAACTGTACCTACTGTTTTTTATAAAATTATGGATGTTTTTATTATGCTTATACTTTCTAAGATTTAATTGATTCTCCATAAAAATATTTCCAATAAAATCGAAACAAGATACATTTAGGACGCAAAACATTTTCGTTGTGAATTTATAAATAAAACATTGTATCTGAATTTATAAATACGTATATGCATCTGACTCACTTACTTAGTAAAGTGTCGTTGTAAGTTTCATTAAATTAACTACTTATCATACATTATTTGTCATTATTAAATAAGTAGTTACAATGAATTTGGTGGAATTGCTTTTGTGGAATTTTAATTTGTTTTACACCACTAACTGTTTTGCAGTAATTAATGCTAAATAGGTGTTGGCCTGATTATATTAACATTTATACGATTTTAATAAAAACCAAGTGATATTACAGGGAGAAAATGTGGAAACAGTGGATTCCTTAGTAAAAAGTACGTCTAATAATTTTTTAAATAAATGCTACAAACAATTAAATAAAATAAACGAAGGCTGTGAAAAGTATCGATTTAGCATTAGTCACTAGTGCTGTGGTTAGGTACCTATAGTAATATTTTGAAAATTATAAATTACCCTTTATAACTGTCTTGAAAAATATGAAATATTACAAAATATCATTTCAATCATGTGGGTCACAGTTGATAAAACAAACTTGGAATAATATCTGATAAAATGTATCACAAATCTACACAAAATAATTTGTAATTAGTACCTTTATCAATATAAAGGTTAAAAAAAATCGACTATTTTTTTCTGAAATTTCGGAAATTTCGCACTGAAATATCTTCACGGTACCAAAAAAAGACACCTGTAAAAACCGGAGCTCTTAATTTTAATATTTTGAGGTCGCGCATCGAGAATTTCTATTGTCCATTTTAAATAACATGAGACATTTTTTTTTGTTTTTTTTATAATTTTCTAGCTCAGAAACTAATTACCAGATTTATATTCTTGTGGAAAATTGAACGCTTACAAAAAATGTTTCCTATACTTAATACTATAGTAATTTTGATTTTTTGAATGATTTTTTTTATATTTAATAATAACTAATAAATTTGCCTAAAATTGAAGTAAATAAATGCAATTATGACATAAATTTAACTTCAACTTTGAATAACTTTTAAACTTCTTGGTTTATCGAAAAATATATATCGCGCATAAAAATCTGTTAATGTTCAATAAGCCTTTTAAATTAATTCCACTGAAACAAATACTATTTCTGTAAACTAAATAATTTTGGTTTAGTACTCATTTCGATTTATTTTATTTCTTATATTTTTAATGTTTTTAATTGTAAATAAAATTCAAGAACTAAATCGTTGCATTTTCATGTTTTGCCAAAGGATCCAATTCGGTACGTATATTTGTTGGTGCAGAATTAATTAATGATAACTTTACCTAATAGGTATAATTTATATTTTAGTTGTGACATTTTAGAGAAATCTAATAAAAAATAATTGTTGTACAAACATAACCTTAAAATCAAATATTTTTATATTTTAGTCCTCTAAAAAACGCCGAAAACTGCATTTTAAACGACAAAATATACCTACCTGGAAACATAATATTATATATAATAAATATATATATATAATAAATAATATAATACCGGTTCTTGGTATTTTACTGTTGATGAATGTAGACTTTCTTAATCAACGCTTTTAATAATGCTAA